AGAGAGAGAGAGAAAAGGAGTAGTTCTTGCATTTTCAGTCTGCCTTATCACTCGCAATCAGACTTCCCTTCAATAACATCATTGTTTCAGTTGCCTTGGGCTACATAGTGAAGAAAACAGAAAGTGAATGAAAGACAGTTTTTGCTCCGTACCTATGAGGAAAATGGCTTTGGTGGCTGACTGGCCGTAGACTTGCTCTATGTACTTTGGCTTGAAGGTGATCAGGCCAATAAAGCCGTTGACAATCACGAGGGAGGCAAGGATAATCAGCGAGTAGATTCTGTTTCTGAAGAGTCGCTTCAGAGATGGAATGAAATCTGGTGAAGTGCAAAGCACATCAAAGAGAAGAGGAAAATACTTTTATAGACACATAAAACTAAGTAAATATAAAGTAAAATAAAAATATTATTGCTGTGTTAAAATATTGTATAAACTATCTATTAGCAGGATAGGGTTTGTAAGGCATGCCTGATTGTAATGACATAAATTACCTCGTTACTAAACCTCGTTTTCCCAGTGAGAATGTACTATTTATCATGTTTAATACTTTTCATGATGGATTTTTTGAGATCAAAATTTAATAATAATCTCAAATTATACTAAATGGGAATTTGAATCTAGCAGTTATATCTACAAAATTATGCATTTTCACGAGACTTTCTTAAAGATCTGTTAGGATAAATGCTCTACTGAGCAGTGAATTACCTTTAGCCATTTCCTGAAATTTGACTTTCTCCTGGGTTTCCTCTGGCAGGAATTGTTCCTGCTCGGTCTTTGTTGCAAGCTCTGTGCTTTTGCTTTGAATTTCCTCTTGCTCTTGCCCTTGCTTGGGTAAAGACTTTGGAAGGAAAAAAAATGGGATACTAGACAGTAGAACCACTGTGCCAGTCACTATGAAGCCCAGCCACCAGGCTCCCACCCAGCGGGAGTCCTTATAGGTGATGGTGATGGTGTCTGGAAGAAGGGGAAAGGCAAAGACCGCAGGTTATTACAGACATTTTATGTGTAGGACTTTTATAAGTGACTTCTAAGCCCTTTCATCATAACAGCTTAGTCATTAGTAGAAGTATGGAGGCAGTTCTCTGGCTCAGGGAAGGTCAATAGCTCTAATCCAAGTAGTGAAGGAAGAGTTTATGTCAACTATGTCAACAGGATGAAGTGTTGTGAAATCCTCTTGCTTCTGGTAGACCCATCATTTCTCAGTAAAGAAATGGTTTGACTTTTGTAATGTCATGTTGCGTTAGAAAGTCCAAATGGAAGAAAACACTTTGCTAAATTGAGACACGAATGAGTTTCAGTGTTGCTCAAGTCAACCAGAAGTCTTCTCTGCCTAATTAAACACTTCGTTCAGGATATTACTAACATCGCAGGTAAACAGTATTGTTACACAATATTAAAAATTACTGTTTGTAATACCATACCTAAATTCACAAATCCAGTGTCCACATAAATCTTGGAAAGGAAGGACCCAAGCATGAAGCCAAACATAGGTCCCAAGATTCCTACTGTATGGATGCAGGCTGGCAAACGGAGCGGAAAAGAGAAGATAAGTATTGAGCAGTTTGAGATTTGGCCATGATGGAGGAGTACAGCGGCCTTCTGAACTGTTTAGGATTTTAGGCAGTGAGGAAACACCAAGGGATAATTGAGTACAAGGTCAAAGAAATGTCAAAAAACAGAGGGTAATATGTCAAAGTTCATGATACAGCAGTTATGAAAAAATGGATAAAATAATAAATACAAGTGGATAGTATTAAAATGCATGAAAACAGTGAAAGACAGCAAAACCGTAAATGATGACTAACCCAAATAAAAAGGGGTGTTCTCTTCTCTGGAGAAGTCATCCAGATAGGAAATTCCCAGTGGCATGACGGGAGTCTCTCCAATTCCTCGCAGCATGTTTCCCAAGAATACATAGATCCACATGGGTGAACCAGCAGCCTTTTCACACTCTGGGGGGCGGGGGGAGAAACTTGACTTTACATTGTGCATATCATGAACGGAATAGTGTATAAAATCTAAAACAGAAAAATGACGAAAATCACCCCGAAACAGTCTATTTCAGACTTGAGTGATCTTACTTCTGATCCATTGCAGGGAATGTGGCTGTTAAATACCTAATTTGGTCTCTGCATCAAGTGTGTCATCTGCATCAGTCATGCTGTGGTTGGACAGACAGGGCAGGATGGTCTCAGTGCTGTTGACAGCAGCTTTGTGAGACACACTGGTCTCATATTTATACCTGGAAAATATTCAAAGTATTATCTGAAAATTGTGAAACATGTAAGTACACATACTCCTTCATTGCTTGGATGCTATAGAACACACATGCACTTTTAGCCATTTTATGCGATTACAGCTTTTGGGCATTTATGAATCTTATCAAACATTTCCAGTCTTTATTCTCTGGGAGCTCAACATAACTCTTAGTAATCTGATTATTTGATTGGTTCATTGTTATATTCATGAAGAAGAAGGAAACTTTGTACTGACAGTCCCTGGAAGAAGTGAGGCAGGGCTACAAGGAAGGATCCCACAGCCATGATCAGACAACCAATTCCAATCAGTCTGGGACGATGGAGCTTAGCACCAAAGTAGCTCACAAAGGCGATGATGAGCAGGTTGCCTGTAGAGAAGAATTAAAAATAACTAAGAATGAGTATGGAATGAATCAATGAACAGCTACAGTCTTTGCCAGGCATGAGAGTTCAGCAGTCTGCTTATCTTGCTTTAAATATAACATAACCTGAAATTTGTGCTTTGTAGTCAATAAATTAGATAAATTCCTGTAGTTGATATAAACCATAATGCTAACATGCTGCATTCAGTAAAAAAAAGCGCATACCCATTTCGAAGCTGCCATCTATAACACCAATCAGGGAGCTTGGGATATCAAACCGTCTTTCAATCTGTGTGATGGAGCTCTTCATGTAAGCTCCAGCAAAGGCTTTGGCAAAATATACAAATGCCAGGGAGGCCAGGAAGAACTGGAAAACACACATAACCAGTTAGATTGACCTTTTCTAGATTTAATTGGACTGGATTACTGGAAAGAGCTGCCAAATGGTTTCTCAGAATTTCTTTAAACAGTCAAAATGATTGTTGTGACCTGGATGATTGAATTGTAATCCCTTCTTCTGATGTGACCTATAGGGAGGTGAATGACACTGTTTCCCATAATAGAATCAACTCACACACTAAACATAACTACAGCACTTCACAAATGCTTTTACCAGTGATTTACATTAAGTGACATTTGATGGGATTAGAGTACTGATACCAGAATAAGAGTGGTTACAACAGATTTTAAAAACTCACCACACTAATTCATCACTTATCAATCATCTTCCCTGAACTGATCTTGTCAAAGTTGTAGCACACACCACTGGGAGTAATAGATGATCCCACTATTGATCCCATCAGGGTAAAACATTAAGCACTAGACAAACTCTGTTTATTGTTTCTAACAATCGCTAGCTACCTACCCAAAGTACGAATCAAGACCAAGACCATTGGTGATAAATCCCTTTCAGTTAGATTGGTTAGTCCTCTTTCTAAGAAATATCTTTTCTTGTAATGAGCAAGTATATTCTTTACAAATATAAGAACATGTATGCAAGCTTTGCAACCAGTTTAGGTAATGTTAGAAACAATTCTCTTTGTATTGCAGCCAAAAAGCCTCTTTTTTGGTTGCAATACAAAAAAACCCTAAAAAAGAAAACCCATAACTTGTAAAATGTTAAACAGACAGCAAACATTTTGCTATAGATGTGCACTGTGTTCTACATTTAAAAAAAGTGTTTAGCATAATATAATGTATCCAGCTTGATGAAAAGCTAATCACTGAACACATTCTTTTCTTAACTATCTCACTGAATTAATAATAATAATAATAATGGATTGGATTTATATAGCACTTTTCAAGGCACCCAAAGCGCTTTACAATGCCACTATTCATTCACTCTCACATTCACACACTGGTGGAGGCAGCTACAGTTGTAGCCACAACAACTGACAGAAGCGAGGCTGCCATATTGCGCCATCGGCCCCTCTGGCCAACACCAGTAGGTGGCCAGGACAGAGAGCCTGGGGATTGAACTGGCGACAGATGTGCTTCCCAACCCCCTGAGCCACGGTCGCCGAATTGAACCCCTTAAACCTTTGGACCATAAAATAATTGATAGAAAATTGAAAATGGAGTGTTTATTGAGCCTTCCTGCAAAATGTAAAAAATATTTACTACATCAGGCATTTTAAAAAAAATTTTTTTGCAATTTGTTCCTTAAAAAAGCATCGTGCATTCATTTTGGTTTTTCGTTTTTTTTTTTGTTTGTTTGTCTTTTGAAGACTTCTGACAAAAAGCCGTGAATCAATTATTATTTTTATTTTAGGAATGCAAGCCTTGCATCCAGCTTTACGTTTGACAGTAAGATCGTTAATGATTGAAAAGGGACTCGAGTTGAAGGTCACAGAACAAACTGTGAATGATCACAAACAGTTCGGGGACATTTCAGTCTTTCCCAAGGGGTGCTGGTGACTTTTTGTTGAAAACAACACAATGCAAACAAGCAAAGAAATCAATATTCATATAAACAGGCATTATCAACTTACTTTAGAGCTGCTAGTACCCTGTGTTTTCTGAATTGCAGTCTGTGCAATGTAACATAAATCAAATAAGCCTGTAATGGACTATTAAACTGTCACATTGTTGATAAAATGGGGCAGTAAACATCAGTAAATGGCATTTAATTAAAACATCTCACAGCCATATACCACCCCCCACCCCCAAACAAAAAACAAAAAAACTGAAAGTTTGATTTAATGACTGCTTTCTAACTCTGCTTTGCGACCATGGCTCAGGGGGTTGGGAAGCATATCTGTAACCGGAAGGTCGCCGGTTCGATCCCTGGGCTCTCTGTCCTGGTCGTTGTGTCCTTGGGCAAGACACTTTACCCTACTGGTGTTGGCCAGAGGGGCCGATGGCGCGATATGGCAGCCTCGCTTCTGTCAGTTGTTGTGGCTACAACTGTAGCTGCCTCCACCAGTGTGTGAATGTGAGAGTGAATGAATAGTGGCATTGTAAAGCGCTTTGGGTGCCTTGAAAAGCGCTATATAAATCCAATCCATTATTATTATTCACGTTTAGATTTAAATTTCCAGTCATTAAAGCAGTGAGGGTTTCTGACCTTAAGCTTGGAGCAGCATGTCTCACGTGTTTTCTTGGATTCTACGCTCATGATGCTGCCGTGCTTCAGAGAAATCCAGGACAGTAGAAAATGGAATAGCACAAGACCTGAAAAGCCACAACAAGATTACGAGCAGGAAAAAAAAAACCTAAAGTTGTCTAGATACTGTCTCAGGTAGTAACATCCTAAAAGGTGTCTAGCTGCAGTGCATTGATTTGTTTCCAGAGTTTGCCCCAAAAAGATCAACGCAACTATTTTGTCTCAAAAAAAAATGTGCACTTACCTGACAACCAGCAGTGGTCCTCTGAGGGATGGCGGTGGAAGGCTGACTGTCCCTTTGCGTAGGACTTTGTGCTGAAAACGGGAGTCTTATCTTTAACAAATTACAAGTGAACATCACCTGTAATCAGTAACTCAGCCACTCATGTGAGGTTGTTTTCATGTCAATATCATCCAACCCCTTCAACTCTCACACACAGCCACTCGTTCACACAAGTACAAATGTGACAGCGGTGGTGGCTTTCGTCGAGTGATTGTATGAACAGCATCTAAAGGTTCAGAAGTTCACTGAACACACAAACACACACACACAGATATTCACAGACCCGCACATCCTCCTCTGAGAACTTCATAAGCCTCCTGAGTAGCCATCCTGTTGAACAGACAACAAACAGCAGCATGAAACGGGTCAAAACTTATTGTAATACAAACCTGCTGTTTCTGTTGGTCTGCTGCTTTCAAAGTGAAATACTTTCCTCCTCCGGAGAAACTCGGCCTTTTTGTACGGTTGGGTGCCTCAAAGATGTGATCAAAGTCTTCCTGTCCTATTGATAGCCTTTAACAATGGTTTTCTCTCTGCTTGTCCTTCTCAGTGAGTACGGCAAATCACATCAAATCACAATGACTTGTCACCTTTATGAGACAGATTGGAAACTTGTCAATAAAGCTGTGAAATGATGGGGTTTTTTTTAAGGTTAACAGTTGTTTGTTAAACTATCTGCAAACATCATGGTTATTGTAAATTCGCAGCAAAATAATGTATAGTGCATCTGGACACTGGATGGATATAAAGTGTGTTTGTAATAGCGGGAAGGGGTGACTGTTTCACTGCATTAGCACTGCACATTTAAAAGAATTAGGCCTAAGATCAGTTCTCACATATTATTACCCCATATCGCTTTGTGGGAGTGTTATTTTATTATTATTATTATTATTATTAGCTAACTTTGAATTTAAAAACACATCTGAGAAAAGTTGGGATATGGGCATGTTTACCACTGTGCAGCATCCCCTCTTCTTTTGGCAACTGACGAATGTTGTTTCATTCTTATCTGATATT